TTAATGACCCAAATTCTTTATTTTTAAAAAGTTAGAGTCACACAGTATTGACCATATGTTTTTAACTTATGCTACAGTTTTTATTTTATCCTAACGTCTTTGTTTCAGAAGTTAAAGCCGAAAAACCGTGATGGGTCGTTTGCGACCCGGACGAGTGGGTCGTATGCGACCGCAGTTAGTAAACAGCGTCTAGATCTGTTTGTGAACATTTGATTATCACGGGCTTTTCATATGTCTCAAGGAAATCGTTGCCCGCAACTATTTTGTCCTCAACAAAATAAGCCTACATAAAGTTTTAATGTCCCAATCAAGGCAAGAAGTAAAGTGAAATATTTTCCAATTATGACGACTAATTAGCCTAATTATTTAGTTGTTAGTAATTAATTGGGTCTCGACTGGAAAGTCAATAATGTAGCCCAATAAATTTTGAGCATATGTGCGAAAGATTCGTTGCGTTTAGTATTATGGTTTGTCCTCTATAGCCTCTAGAAAAGGTGGGTCGTAAACGACCCTATCGTCCCTAATGGGTTAAGGGACTGCTTTTTGGTTTTGGTTTTGGACTGTTTACTTGAATTCTCTAGTTAATACTAGTAAATAATTAGATAACCGCTCTACTTTGTTGAAATGATGTAACGATATATTGTAAGAGTACACTTTAAAAGTGCTGCATTTATTTAGGTGCTAAGATAGGGTAGATAGCCCCAGCACTAACAGATAAGGTATATCTTTATAAGGGGTGCTCGTGACCGTATTGTACTGCTAATGGACGGGAACTACAATGGAATTGGGTATACAAACTCTTTGTCATACATCTGGTGATATAAGTTGTTCACGATAGCTGGATTGTCTCTCTTGTTCTCATATCCTGTCCAAGAGCTTGTCGTGTTGTCAAGTGGTGTTGTCACGTGGTTATTGATTAGAAACTAGGAACTGAGGAACTCTATCGCACCTTGCATTGTTCATCAGGTGACTTGATTATAGGGCTAAGTTCTCAGTTCTCAAGTTACAGAACTAATGTTGCGTGTTTACTTGTGGGTCAACTTATATTATCGCTATATGGACTGATAATTTACAGGGTTATGCAAAAAGTATTTAGCCATTGTAATAAATCGTGGAAATTCTTATGGAGGAGTAAATTTTGAGATATGAGTTGCTATCAATTCATAAACGTTTTACGTTTCATTCTTGCTTCTCATTTGATTTAATTCCCTACATTATTTTTGCATCACTCTGTGGCATGTATCTCATCTCGTGATCGTATACCTTTACTCTCTGCAGAATACGATATCATAAACTTTAATATAAAATTGTATATTAATGTATATGATATTGTACTCTGTACTCGATAGAGAGTTTGTCCATAAATAAACTGATCTATAAGTATGTAAATTAGTTTATTAATGGATAAACTTATCTATGTTTCGTATGTTACAACTCATTTCACATTTGGACATTAATTGAAAGATTAAATCCACTTTGACTTACTGCTTTTTTAGTGTCCTAAAGATCTATCTTGGGGAATGTTGTATATTTTAGGTCTTGTCTTATGTTATAATTAGCATTAGGGTTGCCATTATCGGTACAATTTTTTTTAAATCGCGATAATCGATAACTTTTTCCAAATTTTTTTTCCAAATCAGTGTGTGTAATCAGTGTAGCTTGTGTTGCAAATATCGAGCTCTCTTATCTTTTGTAAATTTGCAATAAGTTCAGTTTGCTGCTACCGTGTAGTTTACCTTTGCGTGTGTACTTGTACATTACTATACAAGTACACTATGGGGGATGACCCAACTTTGACCCGATCCCAGGAGTTGATTAAGGAGTTCAACTATGATCAACAGGAAGATGTGGAAGGCTGTGTTGCACGCTGGTCCGATAAGTTAGAAAAAGACCTGCATATGGACTACCGTGAAATTGACTACGAAAGTCGTGAAAAGATCAAGACTAAGGATAAACAGACTCTGTCTGGCTGGATTGTGGATGCAGTGGACCTTGTTCGTCGGCAGAATAGTCAGATGTATCTCTTGAAGGAGATCATCGAGTGCTTCAAGACGGAAGCACTAGCAGACAAAGAAAAGGTGATCAGACTGCAGGGCCAGCTGCTGATGCAGAAGGACGAACAACTACAGTTGCTTAAGACGTCTGTTGAGGAGACAGTCCAAACAACGGTGGAGTCAGGGATTCAGAACTATAGTGCAGCTGTTCAACAGAACAGTGCAAGTGGTACGGTCTGCAACAGTAAAATCCTGAAGAAGGTGATGAAGAGTGTGGCTGCAGAGGAGGACAGGAGCAAGAACCTGATCGTGTTTGGGCTGAAAGAAGAGGAGGAAGAACAGCTTCCAGCGCTAGTTACCGCAGTTTTGGAGGAGATCGGGGAGAAACCTCACTTCGAAGCGACTAGAGTCGGTTGGAAGAGGCCAGGTAGTACGGCTATCCGACCAGTCAAGATCACCGTCCCAAGCTCAACAGCGGTTCATCAGATTCTGATGAAAACAGGGAGACTGAGGGAGAAGCACAAAGATGTATGGATATGTCCAGACAGATCCAGCGAAGAACGAGCAACAAGGAAGCATCTGGTCACTGACCTGAAGAAGAAGAGGGCGGAACAGACTCATCTCGACCACTACATCCGGTACGGGAAGGTATGTAGCCGTGATAAGAAGTCATCATGAGTTACACTCTCGGACACTGATCAGTATATATGAAGGAGTGATGATTATTTTAAGAATTTTCAGACGTTATCTGTATTTAAGAGACAACTATATATTTTGAATATTTTATTATTTGATTGTTTCACACTTTTCATATTTCATAATTTTATTACTAGGTGGAGGTGATGTTATTGAGACTTTGGGCGGCCATAAAACTCCTGTTTTGAAAGTTGTCCTCTGTACTTGTTTCACTGACCCACGCTTTATAGCATTTATACATTTCGGCCCATTTTATATGTTTGTTCGACTTGCTGTACATTTGTATATTTGCTATTTTGTAAAAGTTTCAAATCAAATCAAATCATCGCGATAATATCGGTTATCGGCGATAAATTTGGCAAGATAATAGAAGTAATATTTGTCTGCACTATGCATACTTGAATTATGCTCCTATGCTATGTTATCTTGTTACAATATCATTAATTGAATTTAATTTCCAAAAATCGGTTAAATTCGAACTTTGAAAAAAAAACTTTTAAAAAATAGCAAACTTTCATAGCATTATCGTTGGCTTTATCATTTTCTATAGAATTGCTTAATGCTTTCCTATAGAATCAATTGCAATATTGGCATTGCCCTTTAACAAGCCCACATTTTATCGACAATATGGCCTATTTTTTCTCTGCAGAGAATTAGAATTACTTTAATAGAATTATCGTGTGCTTTATTCTTTTCTATAGAATTGCTTAATAGCTTTTCTATAGAATCAATTGCAATATTGGTATTGCCCTTTAACAAGCCCATATTTCATCGACAAATGTTCTTTAGGCCTATTGTTCCTTTGCAGAGCATTAAAATTACGTATCAAGGTTTACTTAGTGATCATTTTGTAGTCTTGATATGCATCTGCAGCTGCTATAATACCGGGGTCCGAGTAGAACTTTACTGGCAATCATACGAAGTTAAGGTTCTTTCTCTAGTCTCTTGACATATCATGTACGTAGCCTATCAAGAAGGGTTCGAGAAAGTGACGAGTCTATCTTTTGACTCTTCCAGCTTGCTATCAATAAACTGAACATTCACTTCTGCTAGGTTGAGGGAGATTGTTGTCTCTTTAACACAGTCTTAATGATGTCTAACTCATGTCTAACTCAGTCTATCCTGTATTCCGTATTAGATTACCTAGCTCCGAGTCAACCAAAACTCCGTTCACTGCATCAGTTATCCAGTCATATCTCTTCAACATACTACACACCACACAGCAAACTCGAACAGGTTTTGCAGTCTCGTTGCAGTATGAGTTTCTTTCCGTGCATCAAAAACCAGAATAACTGCGTCTGATCATACAACATCCAAGTTACCTACTTAACTCATAACTAACTAGATGCGATAATATAACACGACATTTCAATTGTCACTGCCGCAAATTCATAAAAACTACAGACTACATAGCACGTCAGCATACCATTGTCCATTACATTGCAAATTATGGTAGCAGTCGGGTTTAACATGACAAACAAAGAAACAGATAAGAAAAATATGTTAAATTTAGGCTATTTTCCCCTAATAAAAATTTGTTGATTATCGCGATAATTCTCGAGAATTATCGCAATAATCGATAAAGATCTTTGGCAAATTATCACCGATAATTATCGGCCGATAATATCGGTTGGCAACCCTAGTTACAACTCATTTGGACATTAATTGAAAGATTAAATCCACTTTGACTTACTGCTTTTTTAGTGTCCTAAAGATCTATCTTGGGGAATGTTGTGAATTTTAGGTCTTGCCTTATGTTATAATCAGCATATTATCTTATATGGTAACACTGTTTTAAAATACTTCAAATTACAGTTGTGATAATTAGTTTCCATTTGACGGAAGATACCACAATTATTTCAGTTTTATTGTTAATTAACGCAGGTCATATCTCATATTGGTAACACAATTTTTAAATGATCTTAGTTCTAGTTACGATAATTAATTTCTACCTGACGGAAGATACCACAATTATTTCAGTTTTATTGTATATGTATATGCATGTTTTATTGTACATGTACATAAACGCAGTACAGGTCGCATGTGTTTTTTAGGAAGAAATAGTGATTGAGCGAACTTATTCTACCCATTTTAACGTAAACACTTTTAGTCTAAGTAAAGTTGCTTTTAGTTCTTCATTGTTGATCCCACGGTATACTTTATTTCATCATTAAAGAGTGTGGCGGGCACTCTGTTATCCCCAAATACTGTTAAAATTAAAACATCACGAATAACAGCTAATCATTATGTTAGAGGACCTTCATTTGCTAATTTAAGATTGGAAACTAACAGATGTGAATTATTTCATAGGCAAGAAACGCGAAAGAAGCAGCTCATCTAGAACTCAGAACACTGACTAACTCAAAGGAAAACAAAGAAAACATGCAGAACGAACTGATGAACAAAACCGATGGAGTTAGACAGAGTAAGTCACAATTGTCAAACGCAAGGAAATATTCGTTTCGGGTTTGGCAGAGAGCGAGAGCGAGATGGAGGGAGGGAGGGAGGGAGGGAGGGAGGGAGGGAGGAAGGGAGGGAGGGAGGGAGGGAGGGAGGGGGGGGAGGGAGGGAGGGAGGGAGGGAGGGAGGGAGGGAGGGAGGGAGGGAGGGAGGGAGGGAGGGAGGGAGGGAGGGAGGGAGAATTTGTCTGAGGTATGCTTGAACCGCTTGAACTGCTTGCTTGCATTAACTCTTTTATTTGGTTGGTTAGATCCTAAGTTTTAAAACATTCTCTGAGATTCTAACCTGAGCGCTTGAGTATGAAGATTTTATTACATGAAGTTATCGAAAATCTATAATTTCACGTTTAAGCAAACCCCAAGGAACCACAACTAAGTCAATACACTCCCGATGCCATATAACTCAACTTTCCTTGATACATATCTAGTTACTGGTGGAGAGGTACACCTTAATTTCTGTAAATTCAGCTTCCAGCATTGAACAGTGAAAACTATAAAATCTTTGTCAAGAGTCAAAACAAATGTGGTTTACCTCCCCACTAGTATACACTATACATATAGTAGTAGTATGCCTATGGGTACGTACCCATAATAGAGATAATAGTATTATTAATACTGTACCCAAAACGAACTCTTTTCTTGTAGACGTGCTATCAGATATTGAAGCTCGAGGAAAGCAAGCTGATGATGAACGGGAAGCACTGTCCCAGTTTGTTGCCGGACATTCGCAGAGCGTGAAAATTGCTGGCGCTAGAATAAGTGAGATATTGAGAAAGGCTGGATATTATAGACCAAATTTTGCTAATAAAATCAGTAGAAATAACAGTCGCACAGCGATAAATCAGTCGTACTACAGACACAGTGATTAATCAGAGAATAATTTTACTGCTAGAAAAGGATGTTTAAGCTGTGCCATAAAACGGCAATTGCAATTAGAATTCGAAATTTGAACTTTTGTTTACATTGTTGATATGAAACTTCAAAGTCTATCCACAAAAGAAGTCTCCTCGGTAGAGTCCAGCTTTTCTTAAAGCTCACTCCTTATTAGGCTGCTTGATACCTGCATGTAACATTGACCTTGAAGCAATTAAAAAAGAAGCTTTGTGGGAATCAGTGTGATTCTTTTTGCATGAAACATGCTGCATGAAATCAACAAATCATTAATAAGATTCCATTATTATTATTTTTATTATGATTTGTTTTCAACTTCATAATTTAGCACGCGACTTCTAATATCGTTTTCCTTAAACAAATTTGTATACGGTTATGTTTACAGCTGTGTATTGTTATATTTTTAAAAATCGTATACATTTTCTCCTTGATACGTCCATGTCCACCTAGGGTTTGAGTGCACTTGTTTTTGCCTGAGCTGCACTTGTTTTTTCCCAAAAATTCTAGAAATTTCTAATCAAGTCAAACTATCACAAAGCGTAAGATATGGTTTGCTCGGGAAAAAAACTTTTCAAGTTTATGGAAATTTTTTGACATAATCGTTTGTTTTTATAATTTGCAAGTTTCAACATAATCATTTATTTGAATATAATGTTAAAATGTTGAAAGTAATCATGCTGCGGTGCGGCATAAAAAGCGGTTTTAGGTTTGTTTGTGTGTTCATGGTTCAGTGTGGCACTCGGAAATTAACCTTAAATCACCCAGCCAATTAATTATTTATTCTCGCAGATATTTTATCCGACATTGAAGCTCGTGGTGCAGAGGCCGATCAAGGGAAACAAAACGTTGCTGCCCTCTTTGAAGGACGAGCTAAACAGATGAACGTCTTATCTGATATCAAGGATATGGGGAAAGAAAAAGAAGAAGGAATCAAAAATGTAATAATTAGCATATTTTTGTTTCAGTGCTGAATTTTTGTTGCATACTTTTATTCGTATAATTCAAATTGATCGTGAACGTCCTAGAGTGAACTATGCGCGGCTATTATTGCAATTGATTAAAATTATTGCCGTTTTTGCTTTAATCAAAAGATAATAAAAAGATAATAAAAGATTTGCATCAACTTCGAGATTTACCATAGTGACCACTAGACCTGCTCTCAGTTTTTGGAGTTTGCTCTTATCTGCAAAATCAAAAGTTAGTATGGCTGTGTATACTAATTCTTCCAAACTAGACCAAATTAAAGATTATAAAATCGTACGGGGTTAGTTTCCAGAAATGGGTCTCCTACATGATCATCACTTGTGCAAACACGCTACCATAACACTATCGCATTTGAAGTGTGTATGTATAGTTCACTATCTCTATGTGCAATGTGCGGCCGCTTAGTGTAGTGAAAAATACTTACAAGTGTGACTATACAATGTGCCCGAACTCAGGGAAGCAATGCCAAGTATGTACCACATTTGACAGCTTCAGAAGATACGGTTGAACACAGTAAATGATTTTATAAAAGCTGTCAAATCACATTATGTAATGTTTTCTTGTGTAGTAAAGTTGGCCTTTTGGGGAATTGAATATTGGGAAGTAGGTTGCGGGGGTAAATATTTTTAATTGGATTGACTTAGAAATATAAAAATTGTACGGGTTAGTAAGTACCAAATTTGGCTACGTTACTAGATAAGATTGAACACATACAATATTTTTAAAAGGCTATTAAATTGCAGAATAGTAAATTTTGTGGTTAATATAGGCTAGTTACGAAGTTCACCTTTTGGGGAATTGAATCCTGTCACGTGATCGCGAAATTTAAGATTTAGAGTGACAGTTACTTGCCATTATAAAACTTTGCATTTTCTAGTAACAGTATATATATATACTATAAAATGCAACGTTTTTCGGTCGTCTCTCAGCTTTGAAGTCCGAGAATACGGTTTAACGGCCCTTAACAACAGTTGCCAAATAAGGTGCGAACTGCGGATGACTCAATCATCTTTAAATATCAGGCACTTCTTTGTAGAACAGATAAAGAAAAAGAAATGACAACTTTTAAATACATTATATTCATCAATCAAATTGTTCGTAGTTGTTCGTACAATATATAACCTCTGATCTTTGAACAGGTAGAAGCGTTGTTTGCTGCCAAGTCAAGTAAGACAGATATACTGAGTCACATCACGTGATGTGACGTCACACCTCGTGATATGACGTCACACCTCGTGATGTGACGTCACACCTCCCCCTCCAGGTAGAAGCGTTGTTTGCTGCCAAGTCAAGTAAGACAGGTCTGCTGAGCGATATCAGACAGATAAAGGAGGAGAAGGAGCAGGGTATGGCTAATGTGGAGGCTCTCCTAGGAGCCAGGGGCTCTAAGTCTGGTGCTATGGCTGAGATAAGGTGAGATAAGGCTGAGATAAGGTGGGGAGATTTAAAGTCTCACTTTTTCTTCTATTATTTTTACCATTTGACATTTAATTTTATCAAACCATCGTTAAAAGTTAAGAATCTCACTTTTTCTTTTATTATTTTGACCATGATCCCAAGTACTAGATAACCTTTCTCGGTAATCACTTTTTTTCTGTGTCCGGTTATTTCGTGTCGTTGGTCAAAACTCAAAACAGATTGGGCCTTGAAAGTTTCTCAATTAAGATTGGTTGTCAGATTGATATTACAAAAGATTTAACACCATCCTAGTAGACCCCCTTACGGCAGCAGTTTGCGTTGGAGTATTAAATTATCTTGTCTGAGTAATAACATATTATGATCCTGTTGAAGATAAGGTATAAGAGATAAGAGGGTAATGATGGTTTTAAGAGATATTTGATACTGAGAATTTAACTATAATAACAGAGTTCTAGAATATATAATATCGTTTCTCATAATTCAGAGGAATTTGTTTCCCTTTGAATCAATCAAACTAGATGAATTGTTGTAAATACTGAGATCAAACTATCAATCTACAGGCTATCGTCAAACATGTTGCAAGGCGTCATCTTCAGTGACATAAGCCCTAAAAATTGTAAAAAGTTAGTAAAACCCAAAATTCCTTTAAAAATCTGAACACTCTTAAAACGGTTATAATGTTAAAATTAAGATGTTAGGAGTAATGGAAGGCCAAAAGGATTTATAGTATTAATTCCCAAAGGTTTTAAAGTCTTGAGTAGTTGAATATATTTATGTTCACGGACATCCAAAGTTTTAGGACTAGAATTATCAATAATTGACACATTAAAAATTTTGTTAAAATCTTCCCTTTGTCTAAAACCATGATCCAACAAATGTAAACCCAAACTATATTCATCACTTGTTTCATCTACCTTATCACCATTTAAAAGTTTATAATATTTGACCCTATGTTCTCCAGTCCTAACCCGTAGAGATCGAGTTGTGCGGCCGACGTAAGCCTTTCCACAGACACTACATTGGAACAGATAAATGATGTTGTAGCTCTGGCAGTTTCCAGGGGAAGCTTTAACCTTCTTGCCGTTCACTTTGAATTCACGGGTGCCTTTGACAAGTTCACAACATTTGCATCTTGGCACATTGCATTTGCTGGTTGGGCCATGTTGAGCTCCTAAAGCAAGTTCTTTCAATTTGACGAGGCGAGATTTTAGGCTTGGCCCTGTTTTCTTTGTGTAACTGAAAATTGTCTTTCTAGGTGTGGCGGATGTTGAGGAGGTCTCTTGGGATGTTTCAGCAGTGTCACTTTCACTGAAACTCCTCGTTCTTGAGAGGTGTTCTTCATACTTCTTAGTCACAGACACCAGATCATCATCACTACCATAAGTAGATATGACCCTGATTGGAAGATGTAATGATGTCTGGTCATCAGGAGCCTGAACTTTGCGTGACAGTGATCTTGCTGTGTTAAGGACCTTATTACTGATGTTCTCAATCATTTTTCTAGGGTAACATGCGGCAAGGAAGGCTTTTTTAAGGTTGTTGAGATGTTCTTTCAGGCGTTCTTGGCAGTTGATGATCCTTCTGAGTCTAAGGCATTGAGAGTACACGATACCGGAATAGATATGGTTAGGGTGGGAGCTTTTAAAATGTAGATATGAACGAGAGTCTGTTGGCTTTATGAACAAATCCGTTTGGAGGGATCCTAAGGAATCGAAGGTGAACATTATGTCAAGGAAAGATACGTATTTACCAGGATCTTCTATTTGGTATTCATCAATGATTAGGCCATGGGAGAGGAGTGCTTTGTTAACATCTGCAATCCAAATTTTGAACTCATCTGTAGTTCCCTCAAACAAACCTGCTCCGTCGTCAATGTAACGCCTAGCTGATACGATCTTATTCATGAGCTCTGGGTTACTATAAACACATTTGTTCATTAGGTAGTAGACTGCTATGTTTGCGATTTGGACACATAGTGATCCACCCGTAGGGATACCGATGAGTTGTATGAACCAATTTTGATCGAACACCCCAGCAGAGGATCGAAGGCTCAATTCCACCAATTTGGTGAGCCATTTGCAGAAATCTTCAGACCAATCTTCTCTGCATGATGACATAGCGGAATTCAGGGCCTCTATGACGAGGGGTGGTGTTAGAGAATCATAGAGGGCCTTAAAGTCGTAGGTAAATGATCTGAAGCCTTTCTTCTGTACTGGGGAATGTTCACTATCCACGAAATCCAACCATTGAAGGGCATCAGTGCTATCAGTCAAAAGGTCAGAGCAGAAATCTTTTTCAAGATCCTTCAGGTATTGGCTAGCAAGGAAAACATCATAATTCATTTTGCTCAACAATTAATCAGTGCCGACAGTAAGTTTAACAGTTTAGGAGATAAACTTGTGTCACGTAAACTGCTGCAGCAATGAATCTACCATTATGTGACGTCACACCACGTGATGTGACGTCACACCTCGTGATAAACTTGTGTCACGTAAACTGCTGCAGCAATGAATCTACCATTATGTGATTGTGACGTCACACCTCGTGATAAACTTGTGTCACGTAAACTGCTGCAGCAATGAATCTACCATTATGCAACGAAGGTTATTTCTCATAATCGAGATCATTTGAGTATTAGTTAGTCAAAAAGGAATGCTAAAGATCCTCGTGATATTTCATGTACAGCTCATCAGCAAGCCTTTTATCTTTTAATCCCGTATGTCAGGACTCAGGAGATTGTCAGACAACGGTGTTTCTTTTTTTATTTTTCCTTTTTGTGTTTTTTATGTTTCTTTTATTATTTATTTTTCCTAAGTTTAGAAGTATTTATAGTGTGGTTTAATAATCTTATTTCTCCGGCAGGCAAATCAAAGAGGAAAAGGAAAAAGGGATACAGAAACTGGAGCAAGCACTTGGTAACCGACCCCCCTCAACTTCCGAATAATGACATCATCTAACATCTAGACGGTGACGTCATCTAGACGGTGACGTTATTGCGACGCTATGATGACGTAATGATGACGTCACGTTATGATGACCCCTCGTACCAAGGACTATTTTTTATCTCAGCACATGGACTACCATATTTTACCACATATTATATTGGCAAATTTTTACAAAGCTGTCTTGTAGTCAGAAGTACATCTCAGAAATAAGTGTCTTTCCTACTGCTTTAAAGTATAATTCATTAATATTTTGATGGAAAGAGTTTGGTAAAATTTAGTTTATAAGGTCGTTATTTTGAGATTCCGATATCATTGAAGTAGCAGTTAATAGATCGTTAATGCCGAGGAAGTCGACGTGTTATAGCGATTCACGATTTTGGCAGAGAATATAAATTCTCAGTCAATATCGTTAATCGTTTATTTGCAAGGAGCTGGTATTAAACTGAACTTTAACATGAAATTGTCAGTAATAGTTTGGTCTAGACTGGTTTCGTCATGGCGACATGGCATCTTACCAAGATATCCCAGATTAGGCTAGATTACCCAATACCCATCATGCTCTGTTCACTTTCCAGGCTTTCAATTAATGGTCCAGAGATTTGTTTAATCAAATTAGCATCATTAGCTAAGAACGACCTCACATTTCCAAGAGATGGTACCTTGACAGGACATGCAAAGCAAGTGTGCCAACTTCACCAGTTTAAGTTTACCTAATCAGGAAGTTGTAAAGTAATTATTCCCGACTTCAGACTTCTTCCCCACAGTTTCCCCTCCCTTTGCACCTAAGCCGGCTAGCCCTATAAAAAAGCGCACTATTCTCAGTTTTACAAGACTTCCTCTCTCTCTCTCTCTATCTCTCTCTCTCTCTCCATCGTTACTTTAACCACTTTAACGCGGTGCTGGTTAATTCCCCAGATATTTAAGTCTCTGCCTGCTCCGATAGAAATCAGTAGCTATCTGGTTACCGTCTGGGAGCGAATATTGCTGTTGACTGTGCTCGTACGATCAAATCGGGGGGAGCTTTCTGTAGCGGCGGCGGGAGTTGATTGGCGATGTCAATCCTTCGCAGCTCGGCGCGGCCTAGTAGTATAGTGGTGCATCGCGCCGATCTAACGAAGATCGGCCCAGTAGTGCATCGCGCTACAACGGCGGGAGTCATCTTCATTAATGGCGAGTTTTAAGGGGTTTTATTTTTTCGGCTAAATGATATTATCGTACCTTACAGTTCCATCCATCTACTGTTAGTGTTGAGGGTCTGGTGCATCTTCGAGTGATGACTAAAGCGCTCGAAATTTGAACCTCTATGCTCTAGCGGATGCGATGGTTTATTGGCATTCCTCCTAGAATGAAGAGTGTTCATGCTTCATGGTAATATCAATATTCTGAGATTGGTAGTGTATATTCCTTACTTTTTCAGTGCGATGCAAGTATATTCAAACTATGTTAGTTATAAATGCATACTTTAATAGCCAATCATTATTGATATTTTTTGTATGTGAATTTCAGTCTGAAACTTAATTTTTTTTCTTCATGTTAGCCAATTTCTTGATTGCTTGAAAAATTTGATGAGAAAATCTTAAACTGCATGGTGTCAAATAATGATATTCATCTTGTGCAAAGTTATCATTTCTTATACAGATTTTGAGAAAATTGTTTGATTAGTATTTTTTGTGAAATGTTGATTATTTTGATATAGATAATTATAACTCAAATATGTTGTTTAAACTTTAATAACCATAAATGTGATCAGTGAGCGACCATTTCAATATAACAGGGGAATAAACCTTTTAATCGGTACCATATAAGTAAATTCTGGGTTATGGATGGGATTGGGATGGGATTTGGGTTTAAGGGAATTTTGAAATCGTGTGCGGTTAAACTTGGAGATGGAAACCAGTATAGCCCTGCGCTCGCCCGGCCGAGAGATATGATTCTGACAGGTCGTTAGTCAACATGCCACAACCTTTACTACTAAATTGTACTAAAGTGCGAAGTTACGTAATTCACTTTAAACGTTAGTTACGTTATTCACTTTAAGTTTAAACGTCAGTTACGTTATTCATTTTAAACGGGCACAAACTTCCGAGCGATTATTCGGAACATGGAATAATGAGGATTTTGCATTTTGCAAGGAGGAAATTGGATTAATCTTTACTCGGTCCCACTAAATCACTCGCCAAGGATTTTGAAATTGTTTACTAAATATGGTAGATTCTTTTGATCTTTATCTCGAGTTGAGTTCGAAAGTCCTCATCTGACATATGAGGGAAAATGTTTTGGTCATGTGACAGGCTAGATAGTAAATGGTAGAACAAGAATTCGATCGTTAAGGGTTAGATTAATTGTGGTTAGGGTTATGGCTAGCTTTGGGGTTAAGGTTTGAAGTAGGACCCTTTCATTCGGCTTCAAAATCTTAAAATCCTAAATCACGAGTGAATTAGTAAATGCTGGTTTAACTTTACTTACAACATATGAAAATAGGTTAAGCCTGCAGATTTTGGTATTGCTAAATTAGAATAAATGGCCATGGCCATGGTTTGTACTCGAAGCATCGCTTCTACATATTCCATACTCCTTTTTAACAGATCCACAATCTTGACAGTAACAATGGTATCAGATAGCTTCTGCATTATTGTTTCCTGCAACCTCAACCTGGCACACCACTACACCAGTGCGCGGCGCTCTTTTCAAGCTTCCTGACCGTGAGAGAAGCAAGCAATAGATTAGCAAGCTAGGTAACATTTTTGTTTAATGACTGTGAACTGGATCGTCACAAATGGCTTGGAGTTTTATTATCGGGAATTTGTCGTAGTCTAGTACTTGAAAACAGGTAACGTTGTGTTGTGCTTGTTGGTTTTCTCGTGGCTCGTTGAAGTGGTAAACGACTCAACTACTGACGCTTAATAACTGAAACTGCCTGTAGACTGCAGGGTTGGGGATGAGGTTTATAGGGTTGAGGTATCATCTAATCGTTCATTCAAATCCTTACCATTTATAAAAAATTAAAAAAAAGAGAGGCTGGGCCAAGATAGCCCACGAGAGGATAGCATTGAGATGCTCTGCCTACCTTTGGGGTGTGGCAACCCTGGGGAGGTTGCCGGTGAAATCAGAGTGAATGGTGGAGGATGGTGTAAGAAGTGATATGAGTCAAAATGATACGCTTAAATGCCAGCTGGGTTTGGAAAAGTAAAACGAGACGAGACAGCATATGATTATGAGATATAATACTTTAAGTCACCCCGGTCTGATCCAGCTCTTCCGGCACAATTAAGCGTTTGGTGCGGTTTGCGAAATTGACAATCGTGAATCGTGGTGATGTGTCCTTACCATGCAATACAGGAGTGTGGTGAAATATCAGCCGATACTCGCTACAATTCTTAGTCTGTTCTATCAAATATGCAAAATCTATCTGTAATCTGTAAAGAGTACGGCAGTAAAACTACAAAAACAATTAATAGTATTGAAGTCATCGCTGGTCGCAATGACAATTGAGCTATTGAAAAATAGGTACTTAATTGAGTTATCGCCACTTTTTGTCGTATGGAGTAGGAATCCTTGGTATATTCAAAAATATGATGTCGCTACATAACAGCAATGTTATTTTATATTAATTCTTAAGCTTACTCTTGGAGGCCGTATATTTAATATATTTGTTATATTTATATTTGTTAAAGCGGGTAAAAGCTAATCCAAACCCTGGCTCCATAACATTAACATTGCATGAAGGCCTCCTTTTAATTTGTATTGAAAAGCACTAATAGTAACACGTTGTTACAGCGCCAAATATCTTCAAAGCTGAATATTATTTTGATTATAGTGCATTAGAATCTGAATATCTAATCATGAGTTGCAAGCCTGCAGCGGTAAATAACTTCTGCAGCCCTACAATAGACCTATAACATATAAATTATATTAATATATTTTATTGATGAATTTGGCCTTTTTATCGAGCCACAGAAATATTATATAGACAGACAAGGCAAATAGGTACACTGCCGACAATTACCTGTGATTAAACTACTACTACTACTACTTCTGTGATTAAAAGAACCTGTTAACTGCGAAGTGGAACAAGCGGTTTACATTTTTTATTTTGTAAATGATTGTCAACTTTGTTGGGATATAATGATTTGATATGTCATTTGAAATATGATTTTACGCCCAGTCATGCTATCATACTTATCATAAATCAAGAATGTCAATGAATGCATATTTCGGAGAGATTCATGATAAGGGAAGCCCTGTAAGTAATGATAATATTCGTAACTATGATAGCTTATGTAACTTACAATAGTGCTGCTGTGCAGGTATAATTTTGATATATTGCCCGACTTCTGACATACGACATTTATTGTTTGCAGGAGGAAACTATAGAAGAATTAGAACAGTCAGCTCATGCAAACAATAAATGTCTTATGTCCGAAATTGGGCTAAACCAATTATATACCAAAATACCTGCAGCACTATTGTAAGTTTCATAATAAGCTACTATAGTTACAAATGCTATCAATACTTACAAGGTTTCCCTTATCATGTATCCGCCGTAAATCGGCCTTGGTATTCTCGATCATCTCCATGTTATATCATTCATTCAGTGACGTAACGAAGGACCCCGCTGTTGTATGGGGGGGGGGGGGGGGGGGGGGGGGAGGGGCATCTTATAAGGGGGCGCCAAAATCGTCGTTTGAACGTGGGACAATTTGGAAAAACTTAATTACGGTACTAGCAAAACTGCGGCGCCAACAGGAAACGTTACGCTACTGCACTTTAACTTTGTCACTGCTTCACGGTCACCGACAGTTTGCAGTTAAAGAATTGCCACTTTTTACCTTTCTGATGTTTCATGATCGTTTGATGATGATATATTCATACATTGACATGATCTTAGGTGTTAGGATGTCAACCTTGTCCCTATAATCTATGATGATTTTACATTTAAATCAAGAAAATGAGATTTATAGACCCGACCTGCACAGACACGTGTTAAACATCAACCACACGAGTCACGTGCCTCTGCTATAGAGGTCACGTGACCAATTATCTGATCATGGTGTCTTTGGGTTAATAATAAGCGTGGTACTGCAGTTTTGTTGATCGGTGCTTGGAGATATATATTTTCAGTGGTGCTAGCAGCTATGTTTATGTTTTACTTTAAGAAACTTGAAAACTTTTAAGGAGCTTTGTCACGTTACAGTCATTCTAATATTTATTTTTATTGGTCGCTCTCATTTTTAGCTTTAAAACGAATAGATCCCAAATTTGACAACTGATCCGCCAATTTTGAGATTTCAATCAACTATTTAAATGATGCTTATAAATTTCCATTTAAAAATTAAAATGATTCATTTAAACTTCAAAAGATCAATTTGTCAAGAGAATTGCTTGAAATTAAATTTAAACTAGAAACTAATTAAAAATCACACTTGGCTTGTCCATTTAACTCAACGGCATTCAATTTTAAATTAAATTCAAATTATTTTTATTGAATTTTAACTACATATCTCCAACCGGCCTACACCTTTATTGTAACCCCTAATTTACTTAACAACTGCAGTCAGATCAGTTAAGTGCAGATTACAATTAAGGGTTTTATTTTCTACCCTGGTTTAAAAATATTTTCTACCATACTTATTCAATTAAATTTATTGGTTGATTTATTTTCGAAGATGTTTCAGTTATACCTTATACTCTTATAGCTAGACAATTACCATTGTTGAAATTATCTTTCATGTATATTGTTTGAATATTATATTTCATTTAAATCATTAAGTGCAGGTCAATTAACTTAAGTGCAGGTGAGAGCTATATAGAGTTCTGAAAATGTTCTGAAAATGTGTTTCATGTATAGTTAATTCATAAACAACGTACATGCACACTGTTAGAGCTCCGAGCTCATGGTTACACCGATTGAGATTCGAATTTTAAACCAGTTATGCTATTGTGTGTATACTGTATAATCGTGTAGTGTGTAGTGTGTACACTGAACACTGAACAGCAGCGTGTACTGTGTAAACTGTAATTGCGATGCAGACATGAGACAACGCGTGTTTGACAAAAGGTGTTGCAGTTCTGGTGACGCGCGCACGTGCGATATTTATTATTTACCCTGCACATAGTTATAATCTGTCGGCTTTCGCAGTGCTTTAGTGCTTAGTTCCAAATTTTCTGTCATCTTATCAATTACTTTATACTTGTAGGTATACTCATTCTGTCCTAAGCCTGCTCGGACCCCTTTATTTATGCAGGTATAATTATATTTTGACACTTTGCTGATTGGACCAATGATTGATATATAAGGAATCACTTGTCAAGCTAATTCACTCACGTACATATTTTCTATTTTTATTTCCACCGGTTTAAATTTGACTTGTATCTTCTTGTTGTTTCTGCATATGATGATTTATTTTGAATCTTGGTGTGAGCTTGTGTCTTTATAGAGACTCAATTTTATCAAGTTTAACCTATTTTTCAAGGAACAGAAGCGGTTTGTTAATCTACATAGTACATACTACATATAGTATAGCGTGTAGGTACAAAGTGTAAAAAGGAGCATATTATCTTAGTCAAAGTTAGAATCCTCAGCAGGATAACCTAACAGTAACATTACCTGATTTTAACCACTCCAATCTCAATGTAACCTATTTCGGGAT